AAGGCTTTCAAAAGCATAAATATCTAGTAAATATTTGGATGCAAAAAACTATGGTTTGTTTTCTGCTTATGTAGCATTTAATATTAAAGTTAGTTCCCTAGGATCTCAAGTCACAGGGCCTAAGTTTAGTATTTTTCATATTTTAGTAGCATGGAAATGAAAGCAACCAAGAAAGAAGTTCCCCAGGTCTGAAATTTGTGGTGTCTGGGCTGTTGACATTTAGTCAGCAGCAGAGTTCAATCCTGTATCTCAAGTAGTGCATCCTCACAAGTGACCTCTCAAAACTGGGAAATGATTTTGGGGAAATCTGACTCTCAGGACTTGCCCGAAATCATCAAGGCAATCCTGGACTTTCCGGTTCCATGTGCCTGGTTTAAACCTTCACTTTCCTCTGCAGCTGAGGCAGGCTGAAACAGCAGGATTTACATCAGAAGCCCTTGCTACTAATTAGCCAGCTCCTCATCTTAGAAGTGCTTCAGCAATTCTGTAGCCTGCAGACACACTTGTGAAAAATCTAAATGACAGCTTAAAAATGAAAGCAATTTCAGAAAGATTCAGTCATACTTGTGAAATAGCATAATCTCTTATTGTCATACTGCTGTGGTCCTACAATCCTTCACATAAACGCTTAAATGAACATTTTTCAAAGATATTATGTTAACTCTGTTCTCTTTCCTATACATACATAGAATTCATGTTAATATCTCAGGGAAAGGGGCTGTAGTCATTGCTCTGGCTCCTGCAAAGACTAACAGCACATGGATCTTTCCACACCCTGGTAATTACACTGACATTCCTAGAGCATATGGAAAATTGGGTAATGTGTATATCCAGGTTTTCTGAAGATAAAGATGTAGGAGCTACCAAATTAATCCACCAGATTAATCTCTACTCCTTTTACCAAGCCTCCATAGAAGCACTGGAATCACAACAATATTTAACAATAAGACCTAGACCTAGAAACAGTAACTTAGATTGAAAAAATAGTACCAGTTTTAAGATTTTTTCAATTGACAGAAATGAAAATGGGGAGAAAAGTTGTCCATAGCATTTAGATTTGCATGTCTCAGTATCATGCATTTGCAGTTTAGCATGGGCATTCAAATACCTTTTACACTATAACCTTTTCAGTACAAAACCACAAATCCATAATGAATACAAAACAAAACATTTATCCAGATAAATGTTTAACATTTATTATGTTTAAAATTAAATTGGTGGTATCTACTTTCTGTCTTCCTCCAGAAAGAATTAGAAGTAGATGAAATTTGGTTTGATGGGAGATTCTATGCTTGATGGGCAGAAAATGCAGAAGAATTTTTAAATCAGTGCTGCATCGTCCCTGTTCCCATTGATTAGTTTATTTTTGATAGGATGAAGTTAGGAAGAAGGGTTCAGGGGCAGAGAGAGTGTGAGTGTAAGCAAAGAGATTGGGTTGAGAGAGAAAGTGAAACCACGAAAGGAGCTTATTTTAATGAGAATTAAAACAAATAAAAACTGCATACAAATAAACCATAACAGCTTAGTGACTGACAAATAAGACAGATAAATGTGGTAGTTCGGGGGAATTTACCGTGCTAAGATCTCATCAAAGATAAAATTCTGAAAAAGATTAAAAATTTAAAGAAGGAAAGAAGAAGAGATGAATCTGTACTTTTATTTAGACAATCATCTGACCTGAAGAGCAAACAACTATCTCTGGAAGCAGCTTCCTTCATAATTTTTCCTCTTTCTCCCTTCCTACTTGTCTTTTGGGAAGACAGCAGCTTTTTGTCCACCCAGTAAGTGGGACAGTGTCCCTAACTCCTTCAGGACCTCTAGGGCTGATAATGCTTTTCCTCTCATTCAAAGGCAGCCTATTGCAAGGATCTCCTGTGAACTAGTCCTTGCTTTCTCCAGAGCATCCCAGTTTTAATTTGGGAGCAGAAACAGATCCTAGCCCAACAGCACAGTAGCTGAATAGTTTTTCGATGCTCAGATTCCCAAGGCAGACCTTCTGTAACTCATTTGTCAAAGGGAGAAGCCAATGCAGAGAAATGAAGCAGGCAGGAGGCAGCAACATTAAAAGGAAAGGTGAACACTTCCCCCTTGTGCAGGCAAGCTCTGCAGTGTTGCCACGTGTCCTGTAGCACCTGTTCTTGGCTCAGAAGTGAACTTTTTGAGTTCCTTGATCTGCTTTCTGCCATTCTCAGTGAAGCCGGAGCACAAACACTAGCAGCCTTTTACAGGACTAAGGTGTTTGAATGCCTGGGTTTTTTCCTGTAGCCATGAAAAGCTCCATGCGAAGAAAACTCATGGCTTAGGAGGGGTCATGAGCAGCACCCAGGCACACTTACAATTACTATTCCATGACAAGTTCAGAGACTCAAATGGGTTCAGAATAGCAATATGAAAATAGCTATTTGCATTGAATATGCCATTGCAGTGGGCAGTTCCAGCTGACTGCACTTGGAGCTGGGGCTGTTACTGTAGATACTCAACAGCTTCAGCTGCCACAACCACTCTTACCCTGTGCAGGGCTGATGTTAATGCAACAGACAACTTCCTGTGGACTCCTCTGCATCATGCTTGCTATAATGGACACCTGGATATCACCGAGGTGCTGGTGAAGGCTGGAGCAGCTGTGAATGCCCCTGCAATAGGCGATGCCACCCCGCTGATGAGAGCCATTGAGGCCTGCAGGCTGGACATGGTCTATTTCTTAATCACTGCAGGTGCTGATGTCCAAGCTATAAACAGCAATGGTAAATAGCAATGTTTCCAAAACAGGCTGTTTCTTCATTAAAAACAGCTGGAGCGCTTTGAGAACTGTTCTGCATTTAGCGTTCCTGTCAGGATTGGGATGAAGGTAACAGGTTCAGTTAGTTTACTCCAGTCTGGAATCATTATTGAAAAAAATGCTTTCTTAGGCTTTGCATATCTAGAAAATGAAGTAACATGATTAACTACTCAATTCAAAAGACTATTACTCCTCACAAGATACATACAGAGTTACAAGTGGCTTTAATGAAAACATTCTATCTAGTTATTATTATTTGAGGGAAAATTAGATTTAAGTTGTGGCCCAGAGTATAGTCTGCCACTCATTTAAGCGATATATTTTTAGGCACAGGCAGCCCTGGTTAAAAAACTTCCTTGCTGCTCTACATGTAGATATAACTCCTGAGAAAAAAAATAAACAGAAAACCAAATCTGAGCTGGTACTGAAGTGTTACCTCCTCACAGCAGATCCCTCCTTCAGCATTATTCCCACTGTCTCCAGAGTAATTTAAAAGTTCACATGCATCACCTTTCAAGCTCTTGCTCTAACATAGGAAGCAGCATTGCTACACTATGAGACTTTCCTTGCCAAAATGCCTATCAGTGAAACCCTGCTTGTAGAAGGGATGTGTATTCCTTATTTCTTAAATCATGTGGAGTTCTGATTCCCACAGCAGTTCAGTCTCACAGATACTTTACAGCCAGAGTCTTATAAGAACCAGGACAGATTTTTTTTCCTTCATTAAGCACTGAAGCTGTTAGTTTCCATCAGGGGGCTTTCCCTTGCCAGCCACAGAGCAAGCACAGGCAGAAGGAGATGGGCAGCACAGTACAAGATTATGAATGCAGACCATCTCCTAGTGCTAAATGCTCTCAGCTCTCAGAGAGCAAAATGACAACCTGCAGAACCAGTGTATTAAGCTGCAAATGGCAGAACATTAAGAACAAAGCAAGCAATACAAGAATTCCTGCAATATTCCTGGAAAATGAGTTTCAAGGCTCATTTCTGCCAGGTCTTATTTCTGCAAGCAGTGCTGATGACTGCTGGTCCTCACAGCAATGTCAGGCACACTGCTGGCACATGGGGATGGGTAATAAAATACTGGCCATATTAAATTCAGTTGATTGTCCAGTTGCAACAAGCAAGTGCCAAAGTTAATTTTCATGGTTTACACAGATACTTATTTTTTTAAAATACAGGAAAGAGTGTTCTTGATCTTGCTCAAGTATTTGAAGATGCTACAATAATTGAACTGCTTGAAAATCAACTGCAAATTTTGGCAGAAGAACAAGAAAAAGAAGAAGCAAAGCCAGCAAAAGGTGGGAAGCCAAAACCAGCAGAGCTACCGAAGCCTGTGAAAAAAGAGGTATGAGAGATGGTAACAAAGGACTGATTTACTAACAGTTAGCAGAGAGCTTCTTTATTTCCTTTCTTTGCCATCCATTTCTCTCTAACGCTGTAACTCAGGTAGGTCTATTAAAGCGGGTATTTTCAGATGTCCGTACTTGTTCTTGTGAGTATTAGAACTTGTTCATTGGTGGAAATTTGTCTTGCTAATTATACGAACTTCATGTCTTCCCCAGACACATATCAGAATGATGTCCTGTATCACTGACAGGACACAGAAAAATGATTTCTTTTTCCCTCCTCCTGAAGTGTATGCTCATCCAGGTCTGTTATGGTAAATACTGAACAACTAGTAACCATAATTCCTTAAAGGAAGAACGTCTTTTTTCACAAGAGCAATACCCTTCAAACTGGTTAAAAGGTTTTTTGTTGTCCTAGTTGAACTCCCTGAGACAATACCAGGCTTGCTAACTTCCTATTTTCCATCTTGTCCAATATCCTCCCTCTTCCACTATTTACCTGAGTCCTGTTTCTCAAATCCCACACTGATGTTTGCCTGTTTTATTTCTAAATGCTTTTCCTGCACCTTCTGGGAGTCTTGGGCACCTCAGCATTGCCCTATTCCCAAGCTGGCACCAGCCTTGGTGACCAGATCCGGGTTCTCCTATTGCAGATGAGACCTTCCTGATTCACCAGTGGTACTTTTAGTCACATCCAGGATGCTATTTAGGGAGAAGATACAATTGTATAGCTGTAGGTGTCCTTCAGCTGCCCTGGGCAGTGCAGTAAATACATCCCAGTAGCTAAATGTTGGCATCCCCCTTGCACAGAGGTTTTGAGTGTTAGGGAGAGCAGAGGACTTTCAGAGGCAGGAGGATGACAACCTTAGGTGTTTGTTTATTCCTCACTTGGAAGAGGATGGGTTCACCAGTGGTACAAGGTGACTGTCTTGGGAGTCATAAAGAGGAGTTAGTGTTTTAGTGCCCAAGGAGGAGAGGTGCCTTTTACCTTTCAAAAGGTTGGCTCTTGCAATTCTTGATTTTAAAATATCAACTTTGAGAAAAACAGATTCTAAAGAGATTAAGAAAAATACTCTCCCAGCAAACATTGTAGCAGAGTATCAGAAGATGCAGGATGCATGCCTTGCTTCTGAACATGATGTATTGGTATAATTGGTACCTTCTTCCCCTTCAGTCTTCAGATGGATCTCAGCCATCTGAGGAAGAACCTGTTCCTGAAAAGACAAAGCGTTCCCGTAAGGACAGTTCTGCTTATTGGAAATCTTTGGCCACGAGAGAAAACAAAAATGACATCTCCTTCAGACCCAGAAAAGTACGTACAGCAGCAAAACATGAGTGCAGTTCCATGGTAATGTAAAGGTAGACCTTGCTGAGATCAAAACCCAGAACAATCCAATGACATTTCCACCATTCAACTAGCTTAGAAATGACGTGACACAGCCTGGAGAGGTTGCCACCAAACAAGAAAAGAATACGTTAAAGACTTAATGGATGTGTATTATATAATAACACAAATATATATATATATATATATATATATATATATATATATATGTATGTATGTATAAAACAAATATTTGTGGAAATCAAGCTCTTATCAGATTTTAAAATTGGATTAAAGTGCAGACACAGTAAAATAAAAATGCAATTACATTTATGACACATATTTTTATACTCCTGCTTTTAAAAGATAGGAGTCTATTTGCATGGGATGGGCACCAACTTTTTTCAGTGACAGTTACTGAACTAGATGGACCACAGCACACTAAATATTTCCTACCTAGAGCTGGAATAGTGGAAATACAACTTTTCTGTCTTGTTAATACATGCTTAGAAATAACTGAGAAACAGAACAACATAATCAAAGTGAGGTAATATTTTTTCTCCTTAAAAAGGAAAATAACACCACTGCTGGCTGAACAGTTGTGTTTGGAGTTTGTTTATCATCTCCTTAACCCTGATTTATGCTAGTTTCTACAATGGTCTCAGAAGACTGAGGCTACATAGCTGATGACTCTATAGCTTATTACTATTTTCCACTCTGAGGATCATAAGGCTGAGTCAGTAATTTTAAATAATTACCTTAAGATCTTATTTCCCACATTATCTGTAATCGGAGTCCATGGCATGATATAGATTGGAAGTGACAACAAGAGAATGCTCTGTTTATACACACACAAATTTTTGACCTCTGCTCTGCTGGGAGGCCACATTGCTTCTTTTCTATGTCTCATAATGGAAAGGAGTGCTAGAACATGTCTCTCTTTGGCTAACAGTATCTTCTTAGTGCTTCTGTTGCAAAAGGCCCATTCAAATTAACTACACATACCTGTATTTTGTAGATATGGAGCCCTGATGCCACAGCAATGCAGCTTGCAGAAAAGCGAGAATTGCTCTGTGAACGTGCTGCTCTTTGTGGGCACATGGAAGATTTTACAACCCTCTTCAATAGAAAATTTAAGAAATAAGCACAGTACCTGGAAAAAGCTACTTCAGCACAAGTTTTGAGAAGACAAAGATATAAAAGGCTACTCCTTTGCAAGGAAGGAATCGTGCAGTGCTCAGTAAATATATCTCAGTTACCATAAAAGAAAATCATGTCAAGTTTTTCCTCTATAGATTATGTTGCATACACATAGTCTTCTGTTGAGGGCTTAGTCTCAAAAAAGATTTATCTTCATGTGATTCTAAGTCTTGGAGCTGACTCAGTATACTTCCTAGAATAGCCACTGTTGTGACACACACGTCCTTTGTAAAGGTGTGGCTTTATAAGGCTTTCTTCACCCCAACACAAAACTTCTTCTTGGAAGATACATTACCCTTCTACTTTAAATATATAGATATGAAGATAGCATTCAGTAATTAGCTAAGTCAGCAATGTTCTGAGTTGCCTGTAGAGGCAATAGAGAGTTCAGAATTTACAGCCAGGACTATCACAGTGCCTAGTGTACTTCTTTAATGTTCTCCCATTCATTTGCCAAAGTGCATGTGAGACCTGAAACTGCTTCCACCCCAGCAGGCTCATATTGTTTTCCTTCTGATTTTCTGAAAGGATAATAATCTTGATATAATAATCTGTAATCCATTTGCCATGTCTCCCACAGGCTGTTGTTATCTCTCAGATGAAAGGGGGGTCTCATAAGGGGTGCTGATGGAGACCTGCACTGCAGAGCTCCAGCCACTGAGATCATCGAGTCCAGCCTTTGACCACTGTGTCACCCAGACCACGGCACTGAGTGCCACATCAAGTCTTTCCTTACACACATCCAGGGACGGTGACTCCACCACCTCCCTGAGGAGTCCATGCCAATATTAACCCTTTCTATGAAGAAATTCCTCCTAATGTCCAACCTGAATATGTATCTCTTCATCCTCCAGGAAATTTTTCCTAAGCTTTTCCAATTTGCCAGAGGGGGTTATTAACAAACACTGTTCTGGGGCATCCAAAATTGACATCACATCCATTGTTCCAAATTTTTTGCCTCTATCTTTTTTCTAAGAGATTTATCTTGCTCCATCACCTCCTGAAGGACCAATTGAAGCAACTGATTCATGTCCCATTCCCTCCGAACCACTTCTGGTTCAGCAGCTCCCTGTGAGCATTCCTGAGAGCTGCAAAGCTTTCACCAATAATGACTGTCTGAGGTTTGTCCTGACTTCTCCTGAAGAAGAACATTCCAGTAGGTCTGGACCCCACCGATCACTCCACCAGAGCCAAGGGTGCCTGTCTGTGATGGCAGTTTAACATTGTGACCCACCTCTGCAGCTGGGTAACTGAGGTTCTTGTTAACAGATCCTTCAGGGGCAATCAGAGTGAAACCACACTGAATGACCAGTGTGTGATTTTTATCTGCCAGCATAAAACTTCTGCTGGCTAGATGATTGTAAATAACAAAAATAGTAGAGCTGCAGTTAAGTCATAGAAGGCAGCGTGGGCAAGGAGCCCGTGAACAATCGTAAATGAAACTGCATCTCTGAAAGAAGGAGAAGCAAAGGGGCAATTTGCTGAACAGTAGCCATCAAAATAAAATCAAGCAGCAGTCAGAAATTATACTGTAAGGTAAAACTGTGTTTCTGGCAGAGATCTGTCATGGAGATTACCTAGGATAGTTCACAGCCTTCGCATGTCCAATGAGGATTTTCCTAGTTCTTAGTACAAGGTTTAGGAGCACACTGTTCCTTGTGGGATCCTCTACTACCTGTGTCAGGAAGGGATCATCAAAGTTTTCCAAGAACCTCCTGGACTGTCTGTACTTTGCTGTGTTGCCTCTCCAGGTGTCAGGGTGGTTAAAGTCCCTCATAAGAGGGGAGAACCAGGGCCTGTGTATTGAGGCTGCTTTGAGCATCCTGCATTGTGGCATCATAGTGATGATGGAATAAGGAGGCTGTGTTCTGTGCAGGACACCCATCACAGTCCCCAAGGGATGGAGGGATAGGAAAACCTGCTTGACCTGGAGGAGGCAGAGCCACCCACGGCTCCCCTCACCATCAGACTAGCCTGGGACAGTGTGATACAAAGCAACCCCTCAGCCAGGGGCAATACTTGAGCAGGTGACATCCCACCTGCCCCTGGCCCAGCAGGCTAAGGACAAGGGAATAAACAGTGGAGTATCCTGAGGCTGTGGAGCGCAGCTGGGATGCTGGCAGAAGGCTTGGCAGGCCAGGGAATGCCATGGCAGGATTCCCAGACTTGGTGAGGCAGAGGCAGACAGGTCAGCATGTTCTCTCCCTATCTGGCCAGCCCGTGGGCCTCGGACATGGGGATGTGGGGACATAGGGACAGTGGGCTCAGGTAGGGCTGTCCTCACAGGGCAGGAGGCAGCTGCCAACATCAGCTACCACGATGGCCGCCAGTATGCAACTGAGTCTGAGCGGCTCAGGAAGGCCAGGCTGCATGTGGAAAAGGCCATTAAGGTAATGGGTTTGATTTCACACTGCCCCGAGATGGCACATGCTTGCATTTGTGCGCCTGTGGCTCAGGAGAGCCAAGCCAGAGCATGGGGGTGGGCAGGCTGAACTGGCTGCTGTCCCGCAGGAGAAGAAGATCTTTGCAGTGCAGGGCCCTTACCCCGTCATCCGCCGGCTGCTGCGCGCCCGGGGCTGGGTGGAGAGGAAGCTGCCCCGCAATGGCAGGCAGAAGCAGCAGCCTGGCAACCGAAGCAAACAGCAGCTGGAGAAGAGGGCAAGTGGTGGCAGTCATGAGCAGGGGGAGGCAGTGCTGAGCCCACGTGGTGGGGCACAGCCTCCCTTGGGCACAGCAAAGCCCCTGCCCCACCCACACGATAAGGAGAAGAAGGGGCAAAGGGAAGATGAAGACAAGAAGGAAGACATGGAGCAGTGCAATGAGGACTCTGATGACATCCATGACCTCATGGTTAGCTAAGAGGGCTAGGGCTGAGCTCTGCCACAGCTCCCCATGTCCTTCCCTTGGGACCCTCAGGGGCAGGGCATAGCTTGGGGCAGGAGGGGGGATCCCTGGCTCACCCCGGTCCACTCCCTCCCACAGTCCTTCCTGGTGCAGGACCAGGTGCCAAACTTCCTCTGGACCATTCGCCTTAGCAGCATTGACCAGGAGCTGCTGCGGAGGATTGACGTGGTGAACCGCTATCCCCGTCAGTCCGCGCTTTGCACCAAGGTGGGAGCCCAGGGCCTCAGGGAGAGGACACAAGGGGTGGGGGTGTCCAGGAGGGAATGACAAGCTTCTCTAAACAGGAGGGGCTGTGCCAAAATCTGCAAAACTTGCCCTGGTTCGAGCAAGTCGACTTCAATACCTTTTTCCCCCGGTGCTACCGGCTGGGGCTCATGGATGAGCAGGAAGCCTTCATTGGTGAGCCTGGGGCTGCTGCCCTCCTGTCACCCCTCGGGCTCCAGTCTTCCCATGTCCTGTGCAAGACTGGCTAGGGATGATGTTTCCCTCTTTCAGAGGATTTCCACCTGACAGCAGCTCGCAGCCTGCTCAAACTGGCCCTGCAGAAGGTCAGAGACAGGCTGGTGGGGACAGAACAACTCCCAGAATCTGACAAGGTGCCAGGTGAGTGCACGGAGCTGGCTGAGCGGGGCAGAGGCGAGAGATGAAACAGGGAGATCAGGGCATGTCTGAGGGCTGAGCTTGGAGGCTGAGCCTCTGTTCGTGTCTGTGGCTTTGGATACCTTACTCCATCCCCTGCCCTAGCTCCAAAGGAACCTGTCCCACAGGAAGGCTCAGTGCTTTGGCCCCAAGGCTGGTGTAGGAGTCCTCTCTCTCACCCCATGCTGTCCACAGCAGAGCTGTGCTCCCCCCTGTATCCCCAGCTGGTGGAGGAGGCCCTGGAGGTCTGTGAGCAGCACCTGGGCATCCTGGGGCACCAGGACATCGACAGGAAGACCCCGTCACCCTGCCGCATGTGCATCGACTGGGACCGCTTCCTTCCGGAATACTACCGTGTGGCACAGTGGGTTCTCAGCAAGATGGGGGCAGGGGGGATGGTGGCAGGGCTGGTGCTGAGCCCCCCATGTCCCTCCACAGTGAGGGGACCAGGCTGGTGCTGGGCAGGGAGCAGCAGGAGCGGTGCCAGGACCTGCTGCGGCGCCTGGAGGAGAAGCTGCCACAGTTCGGCATAGAGGGCAACCTCAACGTCTGGATCGTCAAGCCCAGCGCCAAATCCCGTGGCAGGGGTAAGGCTGGGGGAAGCATGAGGCACACATATCCCTACGGAGAGGGGATCCCACCATCACTGTGTTGCCCAGGCATCATCTGCACGACGCGGCTGGAGGAGGTGCTGGAGCTGGCGCAGAGCTGCACAGGATCCCCGGCGCGGACATGCGAGTGGGTGGTGCAGAAGTATGTGGAACGGCCACTGACCATCTTCAACACCAAATTCGACATCCGGCAGTGGTTCCTGGTGACTGACTGGAAGCCACTGACTGTCTGGTTCTACCAAGACTGCTACCTGCGCTTCTGCTCCCAGCCCTTCTCCCTGAGTCACCTGGAGCCGTGAGTGTCGCCCCCTCACCCCCAGCTCGCACTGTCCAGCCCCCGGCATCCCCTGACCCAGCCCCGCTCTCCCTGCCCCAGTGCCAGGCACCTCTGCAACGTCTCCATCCAGAAGCGGTACAAAACATCACAGCCGGACTCCCGTGTGCCCCCCGACAAGATCTGGTCCAACAAACAGTTCCAGGCCCACCTGGCACAGCTGGGCCAGGCAAATGCTTGGCAGCAGGTGATGGTGCCCGGCATGAAGGCAGCGATCCTGAACGCCCTCTGTTGCACCCGGGACCAGGTGGGCTCCCGCAAGGGCAGCTTTGAGCTCTTCGGGGCCGACTTTCTCATCGCTGAGGACTTCCAGCCCTGGCTGCTGGAGATCAACTCCTGCCCCACCATGAGGCCCTCATCAGTGGTGACACGCCAGCTGTGTGCCAACGTTCAGAGGGACACGCTGCGCCTTGTGCTCGACCGCAAGGACAACCCCACCTGTTCCATTGGTGCCTTTGAGCTCCTCTACAGGGAGGTAGGCTGGGGGTTGGGGACAGCCACAGCCCAGGCATCCCAAGCCCCCGCTGCCCCTTGTGTCCTCCTGCAGGCAGCCGTGTCCTCATATCTGACTGTGGGGCTGAAGCTGATGGTCACAGGCTGTGCCCTGAAGAAGCCCCAGCTGGCAAAGCGTCGATCCCAGGACAAGCCCTCCACCACTGTACTCAGTACTCCCCAGCTCCCTGCACCCTCAGGGGACACAGCCACCAAGGGCCCCTGGTCCAGAACAGCACAGGAAAAGCTGCCTCCTGGGGGACCACAGAGCAGCTGCTGCCTACCCGAATCTGACCCTCCAGAACTGCTACAGTCCCTGGACTGCTCTGCTGGGAGCCAGGAGCTGCCATGGCTCCTTCACCTGGTGGTGGGGCAGCCCAAGGAAGCTCAGCCCCAGGAAGCTCTTCCCCAGACAATCTTGCCGGTGATCACCAGCTGTCCTCTGGATAGGGGGCCTGTGCCACCGCCCCAGGGAGCAACCAAGAGCCCCTGGCAACCTCTGGGCGGTTCTGCCAGGAGCCAGGAGCTGCCATGGCTCCTTCACCTGGTTGGGCAAGCCGAGGATGCTCAGCCTGAGTCAGCTCACACCCAGGAAGCTCAGCCCCCAATCAATTGCCATCCCCTGGATAGATTGCCATTGCCCCGGGAAGCACCCAGGAGGCCCTGGCGGCCCCCAGGGGCCGGGAGCCAGGGATTGCCACAGCTCAGTCAGCCGGGTGGGCAGCCTCAGGCTGCTCGGCCCCACATAGTTCTGCCCCCGATCAGTGCCCGTCCCCCGCTGCGGGGGCCTGTGCCACAACTCCGGGGAGCCCCCAGCAGACCCTGGCGACCCCCGGGCTGTGCACCAGCTCCTGCAGGACTTCCTGCCAGGCCAGCGCGCCTACCAGAGCTGTAACAGCACTGGGACCCGCGGCCCTGCCTGGGACAGGCGAGCATGGCAGCTCCCACGGCAATGCAGAAGACGCCCCCACGAGATGACAGCTCCATGCCCGTCCTGGATGGGGTAACGTGGCAGCACCCGGCTGCCTTCCACCGGAACGAGAGCCCGTTGCTGTGCCGCGGTAGCCACCTTAACCTGCACGCCTGCTTTAATAGACTTGCATGAGAAGTAGCCTGGCTTGGACCTTCTGTGTGTGGGAGATATGGACACAGCTGGGGATGATGCTACAGGCAGGACCTGGGGCTGCCAGGGCAGCTCCTCTGCTGGGATAGAAACACAGGAGGCAGGAAAAGCTGCCTCCATTCCTGCCTACCTGTGGTGGCCCCTGCCAAACAGAGCTGTGGCACCGGTGACATTGCTGCACCCCAGCACTGGGAACCAGTCAGACACAGAGTGCTGGCAGGGCTGGTGCCCCCTGCAATGCCAAGGGGATGCCAGGAGGAATCCCATCCTGTGTGCGTGACAAGGAAAGAAGTGGGTGCTTGAGAGCCTGGCAGCAGAGGGGGGATTAATGGGCTGGCAAAGGGAAGTCAGGTATCCTCAGGGGTACCCTGTGGGCACTAGGGCTCCTGGGGCTGCTCGGAGGTACAGGAAAGGATGTGGGGGGGGGAGTGCAGTGGGGCCCTGGGGCAGCACCAGCTCCTGCAGGTTCCTTTTGTGACAAGGTTACCCACCTTGTTACAGAATCACAGAATGGCTTGGTTTGGAAGGGACCACAGTGGGTCATCTGGTGCTACCTCCCTGCTCCAGCAGGGTGATCCTAGAGCGCACGGCACAGGATTGTGTCCAGGCGGTTCTTGAGTGTCTCCAGGGAGGGACATTCCTTAGTCTCACTGGGGGATCTGTTCCAGTGTGTGGAGTGAGCTCTT